GCTGATTAGAAATTAAGTGTTAACGAGCAGTTGGACAGGTGTACCTAATAAAGTGGCCGGTGAGTGTAGTCTGTTACTTCTCTAATGAAACGTTTCGTCTCTCCTCCAAGAGACTTCTTCAGTCTGAGAGTTTCAGGCTAAATTCAGGCTTTTAAGCCCTGCCTCCATGTGACTGATACTCACATCACATGTACAGGTCCAGAAGACCTATACAAATTTTTTTTTATTTTTTACCTGGATTACTGAGATGCATCAGGACATAGTCTGTTACCTTCAGTTGTTATAAAAAGCTGTTTATATGTCAAATAAATATTACTTTTCATCATAGTCTATTTTAACACCTTGAAACTGACCTCTGTCTCTTCAAGATGCTACCATTTCTGACACTCCCACTTCAGCACATCTTCACAACAATCCTTTTGGGGAGGGGTGCAAATATAAGCAATAATTCTTTGTCTGTTAGCAAAATATCTCACAAACCACTTGGCATATTTTAATGACATTTTTAGAAATAAGTAATTAAAGGAGCCTCTACAGCTGATGAAGTTTTGGAGGCACATCAAATCAACATTAGCCAACACAAAAGTAGCAAACACTTCTTTAAGGATTGCTAGGCCTTCCATTGAACATGACTGGAATGCTGCTTTGATGAACAGGTTTGCAGAAACAAGCAGCTTACACTGGCTTTGACCCATGAAGACTTGTGCTGTGACACTGAGCTGAAACAGATTTGATCATCTGAACATGAGACAGATGTCCTGCTTTTGAATTGTTAACAAAAGACCTGAAGTCAATGATTAGCAGGACCTGCTGCTTTATAAATCCATGTGTCTGTTCTGTCCTCAGCCTCTGTGCCTCAGCTCTGCAACTCGCCGACAGTGATCGTGATGGTGGGCTTACCTGCCAGAGGGAAGACCTACATCTCCAAGAAGCTCACTCGCTACCTGAACTGGATCGGAGTTCCCACTAAAGGTCAGTTTGAGAGTTTTAATGTTCAGACACACACTCTCCTCTGAAATAACGGAATGTTTTTCACCTCAGTGTTTAACGTGGGCCAGTACCGCAGGGAGGCAGTCAAGACTTACAAGAACTTTGAGTTCTTTAAACCTGATAATGAGGAGGCCATGAGGATCCGCAAGTGAGTTACAGAAAGCTGATGTGCTGGCAGATCATGTTCAGTCCTCATTCACTGACTCGTAGTTTGCAGTGGTAGTTCTGTTACCTACCAGTGTGACTTGTCTCTCAGGGCCTGTGCTTCAGCTGCTCTCAGAGACGTTGCTGCCTACTTCACAAAAGAACACGGACAAGTAGCCGTGAGTAAGAGACTAACTGACACTCTTCTTTTTATCGTAGTAAGATAAGGTTCTGAGTGTTCTTCACTTTATTTCTGTAGCTCTCTGGCAAGTAAAAACACATCTTATAGTTTATAAACATGTAATGTATCTCACATATAAAACAAAGAACAACTGACACCATTTTAGAACTAAAGGGCTTCTTACATCTTCTTGACTAAGCTTATTTTGGCGCTGCCAACACCAAACTCAAGAAGGTTTTAATCATTTAATCATTTTTCATTTCACGATGAGGAAGCAGTTACTAAATGTTTTCAGATCAGAGATGTTCATCTTTTGAAGCTTCGTCAATTAAAATTAACTGTTTCCTTACATGTTTAAAGGGATCCCCGATTAGTTGTAACATTAGACTTTATATGATAAACATATATTTTAACTGTAAAATAAAGACTATAAAAATACTGTAG